ACCAACTACATACAACGCAGTAATTTGTCTCAGCTAAGGTTCTCCTCCAAGGAAGTTTGCTGAGGACCTTGGTTGTCTCTTCAGCCCTCAGGCTTGCAGCCAGGAAATAGAACTCCAGTGTGGTCGTTTGGAAACACCAAGATGCCCTGTTCCTTTAAATGAATTGTTTCACACAAAAGCTGTGCTTTTTATTTTCCTGACTCCATTACCAGTGTCAGGCCTGAATTCCAAGCTTTGAGATACAGCTTTAGGACACTACCCGGGCCCCTAAAAGGATTATCTTTGTTGATTTAGACATCAGATAATACCTAGCTTTCACTGAGAGATCCCATCAAAATGGGGTTCATAAATCCCATTCACTCCTTTGCTCTGACGACAGTGCTAAGGTCACTGGCTACACCAACCTTTAACAGTCTATCATCAGAAAAGTCCTGAAGCCTTGCTCTTAAACCTAAGAGTTAGAGCTACCTCAAATTCTGCATAGAAGCAGGGACAAAGAAGATAGCGGGGGAGGGAAGGGAAAGGAAGTATGCTAGAGAAAAGTGACCCAGTTAGGCACTTCAGATAATATTGATCTATTTCATCCACTCTGCAGTAATCACCCTAATACACAACAAAAAAATTTTGAGTGCCTAGGCACTGTTGTAAATGCCCAGCATATATCACTGATACAAACAGATAAAGGTGCGTGCTGTTGTGGATTGTGTATTCCAATGGGAGAAGACAGGCATTTAAATAGTGTATATAGTGGCTGGAGAGATAGCTCAGTGGTTACAAACTTGTAGTGCTCTAGCAAAGGACAGGAGTTCAGATCCCAGTACCCACATCAGGCAGTTCACAACTGCCTATAACTCTACCTCCAGAGGAAGCTGAGGCCTCTGACACATACCCACAGACAGACACACACATACACATAATAAAAAATAACAAAAATAGGGGCTGGAGAGATGGCTCAGCGGTTAAGAACACTGGTTGTTCTTGCAGAAGACCTAAGTTCGAATCCCAGCACCCACAAGGCAGCTAACAACTGTCTGTAACTCCAGTTCCAGGGGATAAGATGGCCTCTTCTGTCCTCTGTAGGCATTGCATGACACGGGTGCACTTACCTACATGCAGGCAATACACTCATATACATAAAATAAAATAAATAAAATATTTTTAAAAAATAAAATAAATCTTAAAAAATAAGCCAGGTGAGGTGGTACATGCCTTTAATCCCAGCACTCAGGAAGCAGAGACAGGCAGACCTCTGTGAGACCAAGGCCAGACTGGTCTACATAGTGAGTTCCAGGCCAGCTGGGGCTACAGGGAGACTCTGTCTCAAAAAACCAAAAATATAAAAATAATAAAGTGAAATATCAAAAAGATGAATTATCTAGTTAATAAATCTATTAATATAGAACATATAGATTCTATTAGAAATACATATGAAATACTATTACAACATAGCTGATAAATGTTATTCAGTACACAGAAGATAAAATATACTAATATGAAAGCAAAAATAAAGATGGATTGGGATAGCTAGAGGGGCAGAAAGAGGCCAGTAAAGAAAGGGGCCACTGAGAGCGATACCTGAGCCAAACTTGAAGACATTAGTTGTACGTAACCGGTTGTTTCCCCTTCTCTTTGTCCTCCGAGATGCTCAGAACCAAACGTGAGCCTCATCACAGCACCCTAGAGGCCCCTGAGGTCTAGACACTCATGGTCCTTTGCCCCATGGAAAGGCAGATGGGTACAGTGGCTCAGGGTATGGCTCCCAATATCAAACTGGATTCAAATACTGGTTCTCCTTTTGAAGAACATGGCTTTGTGGGTTACGTACCATTCCTCTGAGCCTCAGTTCCCTACTTCAAACTGGAGATATTAATAGAACCCACGTCACCGGACCCTTTTCAGGACTTAGTGAAATAATATATGTGAATTCCTTTGCACACAGGAAGAGCTCAATAAAAATCAGCTGTAATTACTGAGCTTTGCTCTTGTCTCTCAAAGTTTATTTACATTTTCCTTGGTCCTGGTTCTTTATCCATATTGATATTTTAACATTGTTTTATGGTTTCTGCTTCTGTGGTAAGCTACCTCAGATCCTTTGTGGACTGGGGTAAGTTATAAATAAGTAAATAAATAAAAAATCTAGACAGGAGAACATTTTCACAGAAGCAAAACGTTTCATTACCAACAGAGTGAACTGCAAGCAAGGCAACAGGAAGAAATATTGACTCTCATCCCATCGGTCCGTCAAAGCCACCAGTAAGACATTCTCTGGATTCTCAGACCCTCTCTCTCTTCCTTTCTCAAACCCTTCTACCTCCCTCCAAGAGAGGGTAAATGAGTCATACAAAATGACTCAATAACCCTCCTAAATCCTCCCAAACTCCCAACAGCTTCAGTGCCCTGGGCCTCACAGAGGTCCCCTTCCTCCTCACCAAAGAGAAAGGAAACACATGAGGTCATTTTTCATGGTGATAGAGTTAGGGGAGGTAATGCTGTCTCAGTGACGAGCCAGATACAGGCTGCCCTCTCTCCTGTCATGAGTGACTGAGCTCTGTGGCCATGTGAAAGCACCTGAACCCCCCAGTGCCTCAATTTCCTGGTTGGTAGCAACAGTATCTCCCTCCTTAGGTGCTTGTGTGGATGAAGGACTAGAATACAGGGAAGCAAGTCTTTATTTTCAAAGTCCTCCAGGAATGTTTAACTTTCCCTCCAAAGTAACCCTCAGAGGACTAGAGAAATCGGAAACTCCAGTGAAAGGGTGGCTAAGACAGACATGGGGTGAGCAGGCTAGCTGAGATATATCCCTACTTGATAGAGACTCACTATAAGAAACAAAGGAGAAAGGTCATTGAGCCCATGCCACTTTCTAGAGATGTTTCCACTGGTCTTCCACACCTTCCCTGTTTGTAATGGGCACCACCATCCACACCACAGCTGGGAATGGTCTATACACACAGCTAGGAAAGTCAGGAGTCAGCACTGACCTCCACAGGTGGCCTTCAGGAAAGCCAAGAACTAGCATCTACCACGGAACACCGTGGGCAGGTCCCAGCCCAACTGGAGCACCTCCTCTGTGACTCCTGAGCTGGTAGAGAAAAGACCCCAGGCTTGGCTGATCTGTGGTATAAATCCTAGACCCTCTTTCTCCTCCCACTGCCATCAGCCCCCAGGGCCCTCTGCTGTTAAGGCTACCCTGCTCTGGAAGCTTGGACTTTGGAACTGACTAGAGCTTAATTTGAAAACCACACCTCTTAAGTGACTCTAAGTCATTTATTCTTTCAGGTTCCTCCAGATTATGGGCATATCAAAATGCCTACCTCCGAACACAGCCACAAAGATGAAATACAGCAATGCGCTGGAAACACACAAAACGGTGCCTGTCACTTGTGTACAGAAGCTGCTAGGCACATTGAGGCTGTGTGGGGAAACTCAGCCTTGCATTCCACCATAGTGATGACACCTCAGGAAGGGACAGTGGGTCCTGGGGCACCCTACCCCCACTCCAGCAGCTTAGCAGTACGGCCTAGTTAGCTGATACCTGATACCTTCTTCCCACCACCACTGCCAGCAAAGGAAATTCCTAGAGGGTGAGGAGGTCTCCTAGCTTGTTTCACTCTTAAGCAAAAGAAGGATCAATCAAGGCACAGTCTAGGGCCTCCCAATCAATATGCTTGACCTTCAGACACATGCTGATGGACTCTTCTCTGCTAGGAATCGGGGAGAGTTAAGTCGTCCGGTGCTATGAGTGCCCCTAAGAAACAGGACAAGGAAACCGCATCACAGCAGAAAGAAAGTAATGAGGACTGAATGTCTCTCTCTGCAAATACCGCCTTGGCTTTTCCCGAAGACGGACCCTGAAGGAGTTGCAGGAAAGGACCTGAAGGGGGCCAGAAAGGCTCCAACGGAGGAGGATCTTGAAAATTAGGCAAAGCCTGGGGGAATGACATTCGGGGCTAATAAAAGCGCAGCATGGACAAAGGCCTAGAGATGGGGAAACCGTGGTTTGGGGAGAGTGGAAAGCAACAGGGCCAGAAGTGAAGGCTGACGTTAAAGACTGTGGAGCCTCAAGGCACGGAACACAGATTTGAGGTAGCACATCCGAGAGGTAAAGGGGAAAGCTGTGTGACGCTGGGAGGCAGAGACGCTACCAAGGTAAAGACCCCGGGGCTTCTGGGCGGCTGCCATCTTGGTGATGCATCTTGGGTATGACCAGGGTTTAGAAGGAAGGAGAGAATGGCAGGTGAGGTCAGACAATTGAAGGGACGTCTGCTCATGAAGAGCCACCGGGACTGTAACCCGTGCTACCTGATGTATGTTTCAAAAGGATCGCTCTGACTGCTACGTAGAGTCACCAGCAGGTGGCCAAGGATGCACCAGGAAAGAGGCTACTGCGGAAATTCATGCTAAAGAGAATGGTGAGTGTGTGGGGATCGTAGCCGTGTGGTGCTTCTCCATGTAAAACTGGAGAGTCGGATCTCTGCTCCGTGTGCAGTCCGGTGCCTCAAAGAGCCCCGATCTGATGAAACGTCAGGAACGTTCCTCCACATGGGCCAGTCCGGAAAAGGTGAGCTTGTGCAGCGCGTGGCCAGCTCTTTCCACCTCCGGAACCCTTGGCGCCCACCCCACCACATAAGTCAGGGGAGCTAACCCCGGTGGGGAGACAGGCACCCGCTCGATTTTGGTCTCTAAAGACAGAACAGGAAGGAGTGGGAAGTCAGGCGCCTCCTCCGAATCCTGGAACAAGTCCTGAGCACCAGGCACTGTGCGCGCCCGGGGTATATATCCAGCGACTGGGCAGGTGGAGGTGCAGGTGCCAGAAACAGCCACGGCATCCCCTCTGTGCACGCACCTCCCCCCGCCACCCCACCCCACCCCCAGCTCAGACCCCCTTTGTCTCGATTGCCTGTGCCTTCGTCCGTCTGCCTGTCCACCCGCTCCAAATTCAGTGTGCAGAGCCCTGGTGGGGTCCCTCTGGCGGTTGCCGTAGCCGCGCAGCCCCGACCTGGGGCTCCCGAGAGGAGAAAATCATGAATGAAATGGATGCGGCGCTCCCACTCCCCCGCCCTCTCTGTCCAGGCAACCTCGGCGGGGGCGGCGCCTGCAGGGACTCCGCGCAGAGCTGCTGGGGTGAAGGAGCGCCCGAGGTGGGGTCCGAGTTTATGGGTCCATGATCGGCCCCCTTGGGCCCTGGGCGATGCCGGAGCTCCCCACCCCCACCCCCACCCCTCCAGGCCGGCGAGCCCTGCGCAATTCCCGGGTAGCGGCGCGAGCCTGCCCGGGGGCGGGGCGGAGCCGGGGTTGGGGGAGCCGAGCGGACCCGGGGCTGCGCCCGCAACTCCGCATCCCCGGCGCAGTTGGGGAGGCAATCGTGCCGGGAGTGCGCAGAGAGCGCGGGACTAAGGGCCGGGCGGACAAACCGACGGACGGACGCCCCCGCACACGCAGACGCACGGGGCTCGGCACAGCCCCCGTCACATACACAGACGGGGACACACGCAGACACACGCACACTCGCGCGCGCACATCCTCCCGCCAGCCTGCCTGCCCGTCCGCTCGCCGGCGCCCGGAGCCCGCCCTGGCCGGTAAGTGCGGCGCCTCGGTGGGAGCCTTTGTGTGCGCAGCCGGGGGGCGCGGGGTCCCTCCTCGGGCGACCGCGAAACTGAGACCTCCTCAGAACCCCGGAGCCGGCGTCCGCCCCCGCCACGCCCCCCATGGGCGCCCCCGGACTGGAGGAGGGGTCTGCATACGGGGGAGGGGCCCAGGCGCGGTGAAGCCCGAAGGGAGCGGCCTTCCACCTCTGCGCGCTCTTCCGCGGTTCCCGGGAAGGATCCGAATAGTGGTCCTGGTCCTAGCCTTGAGGCCGAGGCTGGTGCGCGGCTCTCGACTGCATAGCGTCTCCAGAGTCTGAACCCCCGAGGAAGGATGGAGATGGTCGGCCTCCTGGCGTCCAAACCGCAGCTTTCCCATCGCTTTCCTCCTCCCACCCCCACCCCCGACCCTTTAGCCACCCGCCCCACCCTTCCCAAAATAAAAGCCCGGTGCGTTCCCCTCCCCCAGCATGTTGCTTTTTCCTGGAGGAGGCCCAGGCTCCCGCAAAACCCAGGATCGCCCAGGTCAGGTTTCTCATCAAGAGTCACATAGCTTAGAAGGGCAGGATCTTAGGTAAGGCCCTGGGGAACTCATTTGACCTCTTTGTATTACAGATGGGGAAACTGAGGCCCAAAGAGATGGTGTGACCAAGGTCACCAGAGAGCTAATGGGGCTGCGGGGGGGGGGACCCTGTGTTAGAATCTGGAGTGCCCGGTTTTATACTCTCTCTTCCTTTCACAATGTGATCATACCCCCATTGAAGCCCCAGAGCCCAGAAATTCAGGTGAGTATACCAGGTGAATTTTGGTAATTCTGGCCCTTCCTCCCCCTAGGAACAGAGGTTTCCGACACTAGGTGACAGGTGCCATTCATTTCCTACTATCCTTACTGGGTTTTTTTGTTTGTTTTTTGTTTTTTGTTTTTGTTTTTTTTTTTAATGAGAAGGAGTGCATTAATTTGCTCATTCCACCCCAAGGGAAGCTCCGTTTTGCAAGTGCTCCAGGTTTGGGTTGTAATTCGGAAGGATGAAATAGAGGTTAGATCCCAAGGTGTTGGTCCCAGTCACTCTGAGTCACTCAGCCTGAGTTGGACCAGGGGTTGTGGCATTCAAAGACTCATCTTCTTACCCAATTTTGACCTGACTGCATCCTTCCCAGTCACTCTGCCCTCCTTAAGTACCCACTGCTTCTCATCCAGCCAGGCCCCTCTCATCATTCTTTTGTGGAGGTCCCCAAGTCCCCTTGGCCACCTCTACCTCCCAACTGTTAAGTGTGGCCTGTTGGTATTGTTGACAAAGCTACTGGGGAAGCTTGAGTTCCAGCTATCCTGGGCTCCCTCAAGGGCAGCTGGAAGTCCCCAAACTAAGTTGGATATCTGGTGAGAGGGTGCCGGAGAGGGAGTACAAGCACAGCTGGACCAGGAAAGGATGAAGTCAATCACCTTGGCAATCTCCCATGGGGTAGGAGGACCAAGTTGAGTCTCAAGGGGATGAGGTGATCTCAAGAGCTTTCTTCTTGAGTGGGGTCAGCAGACTAGCATGGAACAGGGCCACAGTGGCCGTGCAGTATGGGTCCAGAGGCCACCATTGGCATTGCACCGTTTGTGAAGAGCATCATCTTCCTAAGATGCACTATTTGCTCCATACCAACTCCATGAACAGTTGTGGCCCTTAGGTCTGGGGCATAGGGGCTTCCACCATGAGAGAGAAAAGAGCCGCGTTCCAGGCCCAGCTTTTCCTCGCCGCTGTGCAGTTATAGGAGCTGCTTGCAACCCCTCTGTAGCTCAATTTCTCTGTCAGGAAAATCAGATCATGGGATTGAAGAATTTTCAGGATATCTTTCAGGTCTGAACTATTTGTTGGCAAGAGCCAGGAGGGGGACAGGAGAAAGAGAACTCTTATTTATGTAACACTGCTCTGGGCCTAGTTTCTTCTCCTTTTACTCTGTGAGAGAATGGTTCTTGACTTAAAGAGATAATGTATATAGGCTACTAAGCACAGTTCCCAGGGTTTAGAGAAAGTTCAGGAATTGCTTGCTGTTGATAACATGAGTGCCCTAGCTTTACAGATATGCCCTCCATTTCCCACCCTTAGATCATCCAAGTCTTTCTCCCTAAAGCCATACTTCTCTCCCCTAACCAATTCCTGGGTTTAGTTCTCAAATGATGTAGGATACCCGTGAAACCTCCAGGGTGGTGGCATTACTTTTATCATTTATTTTGCACTTAAATCACAGAAGTGATTTATCAGTTAATCTTGATATGGTAGCCAGCTTTTCTTACTCTTGGTCACTTGTATTTACCCTTCATAACACATCAGTGACATCAGTAACATTCTTAACACCATTGTGCAGGCCAGGACTGAAGGATTAACTTTTAAGGGTATGTACCTTAAAAGTCTCAGAAGCAGAGCATGTGGCCTCCATCTAAGTCTTTGGAGGGCACACTCTCTTCTGTATCAGACTGCCTGTCTTTCTAGAATGTTCCCTAGAAAACAGGCAGATAACCCACTGGAAAGAGTGGAGAAGGACAGATTTTCTTCTGGAGAGACGGGGTGGCTTCTTGAAGCTCACCTAAGCCTGGTCAGAAGGACTCCCACATTAGACACAGATGGAGTGTTTCCAAGAGGTATAAATAGCCTGAGTAGAGGGCAAACAGGTTTGAGACTTTCCAAGACATGAGCAGAAACTTGAATAAGGAGCAAAAGGTTAAAGCCAAGTCATGAGAGTAGAGGCAGTTGTTGGGGACATTGAATCCCCAGCCAAAGAACTGGACTTTCATTGTTGAGTAGAGAAGAGTATGAGCAGTCCTGTGACATGGGGACCAGGCTAGATGGGGACAGCTTGCTGACAGGGAACTCAAACAGGAAAGGATGGCAGAGGCCTAGGTGAGAGAATGTAGCCTGGCTACAAGAATGGCTAGAGAAAGGATATGGTATCAGCAAGAGGCTTCATTGTCACCAAAACTGCCGCTGATCAGATGTGGGCACTACAGGAGAGGAGGAGTAGGCTACAGCAAGGCTGTGAATGGTTGACTCTACCATTCACAGAAAGAATGCACCAGAACGGGGAAGGAGTCTAGGGAGGGACCGTGGATCTGAAAGAAACCACGATGGCTCCCGATGCATAGTCTGCTCACCAAGCACCCCATATTGTCAAGAGCCAGTTCATCCATCCATTCCTCCTCCGATTCATATAAACTTCTATGACGTGCTGGCTTGTTGTGGGCTCTGGGAATGCATCACTGATAAAGATGAACTTCCTGCCTCAGCTCTACCATGAGAGGCAGAAAATAAGACCTAAGCAAAGATGAAATATTTCACATAGTGAGCAGTGCTCTGGGGAGAACAAAGCAAGCTGACAAGTTAAGTGGGAGTGAAGGTGGAGGACGAGATGCTCCTTGAACAGAGCTGTCCTTCAGGAGGTGATATCCAAACAAAGCCCTGAAGGAAGTGAGGTGATCTGAGAGAATTGGACTTTCAAGAAGAGACTGCATGTGTAAGGACCCTGGGATAAGAAGAGTTTCCAAGGAGCCTCATGTTGCTATGAGAGATAGACAAGGGAGAAGTGTGGCAGGGAAGAAGGCACAGAAGAGGACAGGGCCCACCGTGCAGCTGCCTACAGGCCTGAGGAATGAGAACTTGCATGGTGTCGGTCCAAGTGGACTGGAATCCTGTTCTTGTGTTTTCAGTGCCTGGTGGCACACAGTGGCCCACTGTGTAGGTGTGGAATGGGTGAGTGTTGGGAATGGCCATTCATAGACCAGAGCTCATACCTTAGACTTACGTGAACCAGTAAATATTATGTCATATAGTGGGCTGTGATACATTCACAATAAAGCTTAAGGAACTTGAGTATCTGTGTCCTCATTCAAATATGAGCATTTGGGCCAGAAAGATGGCTCAATAGGTAAATCACTTGCCATCCAGTCCTGATAACATGAACCTGATCCCCAGCATGCATGTACCGGTAGAAAAAGAAAGAACAGGCTCCACAAAGTTGTCCTCTGACCTCCATGTGTGCACTGTGGTACACACACACACACACACACACACACACACACACACACACACACACACACAGTCAGTAATTATTTTAACCTGCGTGTCTTGTTCCAATGCCTTGATATTAGAAATGCTGCTATTGACTGGTACTAAATAGTAAAACATACCTGAAATGACAGAAGGCAGTTAAAGTGTTAGCAATTGGGGTCTGTCTTCATTCCCCTCCGAGCACAAAGGCACCTCCTCTATTCATTTCACGTTTTCGCTTATCTCCCACACCCTCTGCCATTTCCCTAACAGACATTTTGAAGAAGCCCATTTCTTGCAGGAAGGCCCAGATTTGGTAGACAAGGCATTATCATATCCAGTAAAATCAAAATCCAAAAAGGTAGAGGGAAATTGGAGAGTATTTATCGGAGTCACCAAATTCTTTAGGCATCTGATTGTTTAAATGAATCTACAAGTGGCAATGTCGCTAGTCATGTGACACACTTTGCATTCAACTGAACAGGGAATGTGTGGGTGTTTCAAATTGTATGGCACCCTGTACCAAAAATGAAATCAACTCACCAGAAAATACCTGTGCACCCATATGGCTTGGCACAACTGTAAGTGTGTTTCAGTGTTCTGACCCTACACTTAGTCATGGCTGAGTGGCCTGAGGATCTCTCCATCTGCCAAACTTATTTTCCTAGGAAAAACTGAGCTTCCCTGTCTCTAGGGGTTAGGACTTGGGTTATAGGATCCTGAAGCTCTAGGCCCTTCAGATTTGTGCTGTGTGTAGGTCCATCTTACTGTCTTTGAACAAGACAGTGAAAGTGTGGCCTCCTGTGGCCTTCTAATGATTTGAAGGTTATAAGGCAGACAGGTAGGCCCTCTTGCAGGCATGGGATGTTCTCATCACCAGAGGGGACCAGCTGTGAGGTTGTACCTTTTGAGGAGCACATTAAATAGTAGGTTTTTTTTTTGTTTTGTTTTGTTTTGGTTTTTTTT